CTGACTGAATCCATAATTGTCTTTGCCCATCAACTATTATTCCATTTTGCGTTGTGTATTCACGTTCGCAGTAAAAATTTGTTTCTCTTTCTCTCTCTTGCTCCACTTGTGTATATATAAATGTGTGTGTGTATATAAATTTTTTCGCTAGTTCCATTTGCTTTTGTGTCGTGGACGATGTCAGCTTCTCTTGTCTCATTTCCTCGCTGACTTTGTGTCACACGCATATATTCGATGAAATATTTTTTTTTCTATTCTGTTCATATTCATTATGTCATCTTTGTTTGTATTGCTCATAAATTTGTGAATGCTTATGTGGTGAGCCTGTGTGCTGAATGTTTTAATACAATTTTATGAGCTATGACTTATGAGACCGAAAATTCAATTCAAAACAATGATTCCATGTGTATGCGTTTGAAGAATAAAACAAACTAGGTAAACAATGTATGCGACACACAGCGAAAAAAAAAGAGAGAAAGAAAATACCCTCGAAAAACGATATTTTTTTGGTTGAAGTAGCAATTTGAAAGAAGTCAATTGAAGAGGACAGAAAAAAAAAACTTCGAATACATCCAAACGGCGACAAGACCAAAACGACAAAATTTGTCAAATTGACAATCGCACTCAGCTTAATCATCAACTAAAACGACAATGTTATACACGATCTATTGAGCTTGAAATGACAGAAAAAAAACCTCTTTCCGCATTCAATAAATTTTTATTGTATTTGCGTGGGCAGAGAAAAACTCTGTTTCTATGCCATTAAAATGCTGTGATTGAGATTTTTTTTCATCATCAACTGAATAAAAACACCAAAAAAATGTTATTTGTATTTTTATGAACAAGTTGAATTATTATAAATGACAAATTTAGAATGCATGATGGATGGATAAACAATTTTTTTTTTTGAAGACAAGAGACTCGAACCCTAACCATTTGTGTGTGTGTGTGTGAGAGAGAGATAATAGCCAAATTCATTTATACAAAAGAAATTCGTGTAAAAAAATTAAGAAATTCATTTCAAATGACTAAATCATAACCAAATCACCCCTTGATCTGACCCCTTTGTTCATTAACTTCAAATGAAACAGTTATTTGTGCGTAAGAAAGACCCACAAGTAGTGACACATTAAAAAATTACAACAGAGAATTAAAGAACTGATTTTTTTTTCTCTCGTCGCGGCATTCGCCTATAATTTGATTTCGGTTTATTTTCGATTGAACTTCATTTATTGGCATTATGCTTAATGCATGAATGACTATGAAATGAAAACGTAATGAACATGGTGGAGTGAGTGTGTGTGTGTGTGAGCGTGCACACGGTGGATGATAGTGTGACACAGCCGCTGATCGTCGTCGGAATCATATGAACATTACATTACGCATAAAGCAAATATTGTATGCATTTAACCAAGCGTTAAATTCAATAAATAAGTCATTTGTTTCGCTGGAAACGAACGTCAACAAAAAGAATAATCATCAACAACTATTGCTTTTCATAGCGCTTGCATTTGAACACATTGTCATAAGAGTGCGAGAAAGAGAGAGAAAGAAAAATAAATGCACATAACTACTAACCAAGTAAGTCAATCTAGCATTGCACGCGCAATGTATTTAGTATGTTGAGAAAAATTTTCCCTTTTTTTATCTTCATTATTTGCCACGGCGGCTTTGCCGTGATGCAGTTTCGCTATTTGCTTTTCGCCAAAAATGGAAATGTTCGCATTGAATTAACGGAATGATGTTTCAATTGAAATGTCGTGTAATTAATAGAAGATGTTTGGGCACACTTTGTTATCCATACTGTGAATCCACGTTTGTTGGTGCTGCTATTGCCTCCGCCACCGCCGACGACGACACTGCTACGCTTTTTTTCATGTGGAAAATCATCCTTGCCTTAGTTCTTTTTTTTTCAGCTTCATTTTGTTCGTCTTATTGTTCGTTTTTATGTACGTTCATTCAGATTGCTCAATGTATGAGCATAATTTACATATATTGGAAGTGGGTAGGGCAGGTCAATGTTTAAATTATTCAATTTGATCGTTCGTAGATTCTTTTTTTTCTCAGGCTACATGCAAAATGAATTTGAAAAAAAAAACACACACACGTAACAACAACATACCCAGTACGACAGAAAATCAGCGAGTGATATTGAATTGAAAGGGAAACAAAATATAAAACAAAATAAGAACAAAACGTGCGAATGCAGCAAAAAAATTTAGATTGTAACGCGCAGAAAATTGATGAATTGTGCATATGACATGAAACTTATGTGATTTTATTGTGGGTCGGATGAAAATTCACTTGAAGGTGTTTTCAATACATCTCAATATCATGCCAATCATTATATGTGCGTATTACAAATCGATGTGCCAACAGTTTTTTTTTCGTCCGTCCAAAAGTTATACTGCAATGAATACTGGCTTGAGTTTACCAATCAATAACACATCAAATCGACGGAATAATTTTAATGAGTGTGACGATCAATGACAATGAGAGCGTGAAAGAGAAAACCAACACTAATATAACCTTAGAAATACTTCGTAAGGGAAAAAAACAAGTATTCACCTCTTGATCCTGTTTTACAGAAGAAAAATTGACGCAACAAATATAGTTTTGCCCAATAGCCATAATTTGGACGGCAAGCTGTGTGAGCCGAGAAAGGCGAGAGAAAGAGAGAGACAGAGACGGTGAAAAAAAAATAATTATGTAAAAAAAATGCACTGGCAATGCTGTTATTGTGTCTATTATGCAGATTACATGTAATTAAATTCAACAACCTGTTTGAGATATTGTCTCCAACGTGCACTTGCATTGATTGGCACCATGATATTTGTTCTGGTTTTTTTTTTTACTCCAACTCTCCTTCTCGTGTACTCTCTTTGGCACGGCGCTGTGCAATTTTTTCTTTCGATTTAAATATCGCAAAGAAAAAGTTGCAGCTTGAAAAACAAAACCCTCGATAAAGTGCCAAACTAATGTTTATCAACATATAGGTGTGCATTTCCAACTTTCTATTCTTTAAATCTTTTAATTCACATCTCAATCTTCTTCAAAGCCACCCGATCAAGATGACAGTCAAAATATGTCGCCGCAAATGAAATCGAATTCATTTCCGTGCAAATTAAGAAGCTTCATTTCGTGTTCATATGATTTGTGTGTGTGTTTTTTTTTCTCTGAAAAATATCATTGGAATCGTCGAGAGAAGCGAAGAAAAAAATGCGAATACATTCATTAGTAATATAATGAATGTAATTGCACAGGAGACGCAAACAAAGAATCTGCAGCTAATATTCTGTTTACAGCCGGCGGCTAATTTGCAGTCGCACATTGTTTTTATTGATTTGAAGTCGATTGAGTCACACAAACACACACTTACATTACTTCTGGCTCGGTTTGGTGAGTGAGGGAATGAATGAGCGCAAATGAGTGAGTGAGCGAGCGAGTGAATCCATATTATGCAGTGTCTTGCTTGATTATGCAGGCTGCAAATTGATGCATGACGACGACAACAACGAAAAAAACCCCAAACATGAACACACATTGCACATACAATGAACGAAATTAAAAAAAAACCGATTCCAAGATGATAAATTTATCAAGAAAAATGCATGTTTTAATTGAAGAACAACAGTGCGACGTGCATTTATTGTTTGCGAATATCTTGTCTTGATTCGTGTATGTGTGTGTGTATTTTGTTTTTTATAGCTTCTCAAAATCGTTTTGATTTTGTCAAAAAAATTAGAAATAAAAAATCTTGCTTCTTATACAATATATACAATACAAAACCGAGATTACTTTCAACTAATAACTAAACTGTATGTCGATATAATTATAAATCTATTTTCTTCGAAAATGAATGAATAATGAAAAATTGCCAGCCAGCGTACAAATAAAGCACAACAACAATTTTCGCAACGTGAAACAAAAAAAAAAATAGTCTGAATTTCCATCGGTGATGATCGTGAATTCGATTGTAACAGTAATGAACATGCGTTGCTTATAAAACGTTGAACAATTTTATTCAATTTTTCTTCTCTCGCTTGGTCCCCCTTTCAAAGTTTTATCTTTGCTATGTGCTTTGATTCATACATCGATTTCGCTTGATTTGTAAGACTGCGAATCGCTAATCTTGAAAGATTCGAAATTATGTTTTGAAATCAACACACGAAGACACGATCGACACATATATTGATGGGTGCAAATTTGGAGCGCTAAGAAATTAACTTCGATTATTCAAAAACAAAACAAAAAAAATACCACATTCCCATGGATTTTTGAGCAAGCAGAAAAAAGTCGAAATTTCATCGAATGAAGAGCGTCGTGAATCAATAATATCATGTTTTTTTTTTGCTTTCGATTCGATCGAACTCGGTAAGTGCGCATGAAAAAAAGAATCGCGATGTGTACGCAAAAGATATGACGGCGATTATTTTTTTATTCATAATTAACGATATCAAACAGTAAATTCGAATAAAAAAAACCGAATGTACGTTGCGCAGCAGAAACAACTGCAGCAAACAGCAAATTAAACAAGACACTTATAATAAGACCTTGTAACAAATACTTCTTTTTTTTCCCGAATGCAAAACGCACGGCTCATACACAGGCGCATGCTTGAGCGAGATGCTATATGCAGCAATGAGTGTGCGCATAAAAAGTCACTACAATGATCTTGTTTTTTCATGCGCATTTCAATGCATAAAAATGAATTGCGCGAATAAGCGAGTGAGCGTTGTGATTCATCATATACCTTTTTAAGCTCGGTTTTTTTTTTCATCTCCTTCACACTCGTATCTTTTGACTCGATGGCGAAGTTGAAAGCGGCAGCTTAGCCGCACAAAATGAATATGCATGGGGGGCAAATGACTCGAATGAAACTCTTTTTTTTGCTTAACAAATAAAAATCCGTGAATTTTCCTCGTCGCTTTAGAATTTGGATTTCATTTGAAGATGATAGAAATGCCGGTCGCTAACAAAATGTTCCTTTTTTGTTTCAGGTGAAAATTTGGTTTCAAAATAGACGATCAAAATACAAGAAAATGATGAAAGCAGCACAAGGACCAGGCGTTGGCGGTGGCAGCAGTGCTGGTGGAATGCCGTTAGGGACACAAAATCCAGGTTCTCACAGTCCAAATCATCAAACAATGCATCCAGGTATTTATGAATTGCACCTTAGTACGCAGTAGTTGTTGTTGTTTTTGGAGTGTGCTAAATAGGCTAAAATGGCGAATTGAAACGATGCCCTGATGGTTCAAGTGAAAGAAACTTTATGACACAAAAAAAAATCTATTGAACTGCATTGAACGTGTGCACGGTTTGAATTTGAACTTTTTAGTCTAATAGTGCGATGTATTTGTTATTATTTGTTTGTTAGGCGCACCTGGTTCAAGTGTTAGTGGTTCACCTTCTCATTTTCTACCTCCAGGTCAGAGTCCAACACCATCGAGCACACCAGTATCCGAACTATCGCCAGGTTTGTATTTTATTCCATATTAAATCATTAATAGCAGACAAAATTTCGGACTTTTCACATTTTCACTCAATCTCATATAGCAAATAAATCATGAAGAAATTACCGATTTTGCTAACCGGATTTTCATTTTTAATTTTTTATGTTAAATTTCAGGATTAAGTCCACAAACTCAAGCACCTTGGGATCAAAAACCGCCACATTGGTCTGATCACAAGCCTCCACAAATGCAGACGCATCAACCGCCTCCACAATCACATCCACCACCTCAAATGGGCGGCTACATGCCACAATATTGGTATCCTGAAACGAATCCATCACTATTAACGTAGGTACATATTACAAAGCAAATTGTTTTGGTTTGTTTACTTTCATCTGGTTCATTCTTTTTTTTTTGTTGGCGAAAAGCATTCGTTAAACATTTTCCATTAAAGTTCTAAAATTGCTTTATTAAACTTATGTCATTTGCGATCATATTCATAAAAAAATACATGATTTAAAACTAAATTTACTAACCGAATTGGTATTTTTTCTCATTTAATTTCAGAGTATGGCCAGCAGTTTAACATGAATGAAATCATAAATTAACCTAAAACTTCGTTTTTTTAAGAAATCAAACAAAAAATTTAAAAGTAAAACAAGAGAAATGAGCATAAACATACACAACAAAAAAAAATCATAATATTAAACTTTAGAAATTGGTTGGTGCAAAAGAGTGATGAATGTTAATAATTAGCCAAGTAAACAGTAAAACATGGTGTGTTAAGTGAATCGATATCGTAGTATAAAAAACAGAATAATACACAAAAAAAACTGATCTTGAAAAGGTATAAAAGGATCAAAAAGTAATTGCATTAATGTAAAATCACATCTCAGCCATCAAAGAAATGAACAGAGAGAAAAATGATATTTTTTTTTGTTTGAGTAAGAGGGGAAAATGAAAGAGAAAAACTGAATGTTATTTAGGAGATAATGTTGAGTTTTTCCTATTTTTCAAAATGCACTCGATACCAGTTTGAAATGAAAGAGCCAGAGCGACCGACAAGAGATACATAACATATGCCACACGCAAGTATACATAATGCAATGAATTATTTATTTAGCTAAAAAGAACAAAAAAAATACCCTTTTTGAATCGATTATAATCATCATTGGCCATTAAAAAACTATCGAGACACATTTTTAATGAAAATTCTTCTCTTAAAATTATCTATATAGTATGGAATAACAGTTCTTGATAATAAATTCAGATTTTTTTTTGTTATTTTGTTTTGGATCGATGGAAATGGTTTGTCTTGGGGTGGATGAAACATGCGGTTTTCATTCTTTTTTTACCAAATCAGTTTTTCCAATTCATTCACAAAATAGAAACCTAGAATACATACAAAGAATTTCCGAATGAATCTGAAGAGTTGAGAAACAACAAAAAAAATGTAAAACAAAAAACACACTACAAACTATACGATCTCAATGTTATTTGTTTTATGTTTTCTCAAAACTAATGAACAAATCAATCGGAAAAGAAAAAAAAAACAAAATAATTTTATGTTGATTTCGTTTGACATACGAAACACACTTAACATTCGACATTAACTTTAAAAACGGCGAAAAAATAGTATTCACAACAACAACAAAAAAAAACTATCTAAAAATGTCATTTGAAAGAATGTAAAGTAAAAAATCAAATGGATTTATCAATCCATAGTGTACATGAAAATGCAAATTATATATGTAGTTTTCAGCTTAAATTTTACTTTTTCTCTCCCGTCGATTTCGTTGGTTTAGGAAAATTTGATATTTCTCATAAACATTTGATTTAAATACACACATATACATAATATGATGATGATGAAAAGTAAGACATTCAGAAAGAAGAGAAATAAAAACAACGGTTTATCTATAAATAAACTATACATAAACAAAATGACAAAAGAGACAATTTTTTTTTCAAACATAAAACCTAGAATTAATGTCAAAGTACTAGTAGGCATAATAAATGATAGTTTTTAGCGTAAGTACTAATAAAAATTCAATAAATTGATAAGATGAAAAGAAGAACAAAACAAAAAGGAACACAAACACACACATATACATACAAAACAATTGAACAAATGACGCGACAACAAAATATAAATGTCCGGTGAATAGATAAAGTGCATATATATATAGGATTGCTTGTTTCTATTTTGATTTAGTTGTTGCGCTTTTAATTTTTCTTTACAATGCTTCAAGAAAATGCCGAGCGCCATTAAAGCACACATACATTAAATGCATCAACATTCTATTTGAATTTTCTTTCAATCGACATTTCTTAAATGCACAACATTATATGCCCATAAATGTGTTTCATCATATTTTTTGTTGTTGTTGTTGTTGTTCCATATCCCGAAACAAATTCGATCATTACAATGAATAATTTAACCAAGCACACAGACAGACAACCGATAAATCGTATGCACCAGAAATGCGTGCGTAAATAATGAACACAACCCGACGCTATAAATTGAACCGAAAAATGTGAAGCGATGCAAATTTTGTACACAAAAAAAATAATTCTACGGATCAAATTTGAAACGCGAAACAAAACAGACACAAGTGCTGTGCAATATTGTATAAATAATGAAACTATATTTTTTTTCTTTGAATTTGCCTTTTTGTGTATGTCTTTTTGTGAGCAGTGTAAACGCGCATTAGTGCGTGTGTCTGTGTGGTGGAGATGAGTGTAGCTCAAATTAATTTTGCAAATGGAATTTTAAATTTTTGTTCAAATGGTTAGTTTATAATTCTGCATTGATCATAAAATCAAACGAAACCTGTGTGCTACAAATAAAACGGGAATGCATGTGGAAAAAACGTTAACACACACATACACATTTTTGAAATTTAAATGAAGCAATTGCGAAATAATTCACGATGCAAACATATAAAAAAAATGTCCGTAAAAAATGCATAGGAAACGTGTGTAGTCCATCCACTCGAACATTTTCCATTGGGAATGCATTGAACTTGTGCGTTTAAAATGCCGTCGCTTGAACAAATGACTCTATTCCCATCATATTCCAAATGTCAAAATTCATTGGACAAAATTCGTTTTCTTTTTGTTTTGTACTCATAGACGCATACGCCATTCACTCACTCTGTTTCACAGACACACACACAGAGGCACACACACATCTTCTTCATTTAATTGATGGTAAACAAATCGCAAATAACTAATTATAGTGAACAATAACAAATAAATTGTACAAAGAACAACATGAGCAGCATTAATTTTTAAGCGATCTGAAATACTAAACAATCGACATAGAGAGAGATACAAACACACAAATTGATTGAAAAAATCTTTAGTAGCGTAAAATTGTGTGTCGATCGAAAGGGTGTGTGTATATGTGTAACAAGGACTATAGCGCACTTTGTGGTCAAACATGGAAATTATTTAATCGATTCTAACGATAAAAAGAAGAAAAAAATAGTGCGTAAAAATTAATAAAACAACAACAAAACACAAAAAGAAAATTATTCATTTTAGATAGTAAGGAATATGAAATTTAAAGAGAAAAAACACAAAACAAAAATCATCATTTGCAAAATCGATAAATGACAAAAAAAATACCTGTGCAAACAAGAACAAAAAAAAAAAATTAAAATTAGATTTTAAAAAAAGGGAAATAAGAAAGTTAGCATTTCTAATAAAGAGTGAAATGAAACACACCTAAACAAAACATATAGGCAAAAGAGAGAGAAAACCGACACAATAATCGATGCACCTAACTGTTTTTTTTTTGTTGGTTTTGGCCGAAACAAATATTCCCCAAAAACAACTTCATAATATGAAAATCAATTTATTTAGTTAGAAATTGATGTCATTTTTTGGTCTACTTTGTCGAATATAAGTGAAACAAAATTAATTGAGAAGAAAAACGAAGAGTGGCGAGATAGGATAAAATGTGAGAGAAATAAACGATTTTCAATAAGACACGCGCCAAACGCGTGCACAATTTTTTTTTATTTACATATTTGATGAAACGAATTTTCAATATATATTGTTCAATACAAATTTACATTCCACATTTCAAACCGTACGCTTTCCTATATGTTTTCTTCTTCTGTTTTTTTTTTGTAAGTTCAATGTAGAAAACAAATCGAAATGAATTTATTTAATTTACACTTAGTGAAAATAAATGAAAACAAAAAATAAGACACAAAATTGTGAACAAAAAATGTTTAATGTGAAACTATTTAATAAAATAAGGAGGTATTGAAAAGAATAATGCTTATTTGATCGTTTCTTTAATTTACAAATCAACATTTGGATTGTAGATATTGTTGTAGCACACATACAGACAATGCAATCGCCGTGTTTTCAAGCGGTTTTGCACAAACACAAACACAATTGATGCACATGCGTGCAAAAGAGAAAAAAAAGAATTCAAATTGTTTGGCATTTTGGTAAGAAATCACAAATATTCTCTCTTTTTTTTGTTTGTTTTTAAGTGACACAGAATATTATTTATATTGGCTAATCAGGGACTGACAATACCGCACCGCATCTGATTCATGGTATGAATCATCATTTTTCAACATTCCTTCAATACTAAAAGTCCTGAACCACACGATGTACAAAGCAAACGCAACAAATTGATTTTTGTTCGATGTAAAAATGCAACGATATTCATTCGTTCAAACCAGAGAAAAAAACATTTGATGATAAATGTCATTTACACAATTTGGTTTTCAAAGAAAATTTGTCATTTTTCTTACAACTTTGATCTCGAAGTGTATCGTCAACATCGATCAAATTCCGTCGTTTGGGAACGATGTCGTGTGTTGTACAAATCCAATTTATTTTTGTGTATTAACTAAAGCATCTAAATGATGAAAATATCAATGGTTTTGGCTGTAGGGGGTCAATAAAAAAACAATAATTAAGATAAAAGGGACGAATCGACAACAATACGATAAGAAAAGGCCACTGATTTGAATCAAATTCACAAAACCAGATCACTTTAAATGCAACAAACATAACAACAGACCGAAAAAATAAACTTTGCAACAGTAACCCAACAAATTTATGAAGAATTTCAATGCAGAAATATACACAAACACACACACACACACACATTAGACATAATCTTGCATATAATGTATGTATACTTTAATCTTATGTATATTATAAACTATGAGCTAACTATGATGATTAATATAATTACTATAGATGACGATGAATTTGACAAAAATTAAAATATATTTCGTAAAATTCAAAAAAAAAAAAACGATATAAAAAATAACTCGAAACTGACTTTTCTTTTCAACATCCTTTTTTTAGTTGTAGACTTTATGTTTCAGCGAAAGGGAACTATAAAAGTAAGTGAAATAAGCAATGAGCCGATTTTATTCAATGTAAATAAATCTTCATTCGAAAATAGCAAAAATCTAAAAGAAATCGGATAAAATGTTTCGATATCCTTTGTGCATGTATGTTGATGGTGTATGACTTCTTAAACAAAAAAAAAAGATTTCAAGTATATTTTAATGCTACACAATTCAATTGAAAACAAAAAAAAGAACGTTAGAGATAAACGAACCGAAGGAGCAACGGGAAATAGACGAGAAAGGTAAAGTATGAAATCTCAAATGGCATATTGTGTCTCTTTTTGTACAATCATCTACTTGACCTAATCTCTTATTTTCATTGAGTTTATCTGTGCATATATGCAACCCGAGGTTTGTTTTGCCAAAACTAAATAACAAAATGAACAACAACACATAAATGGATTTAATCCAAAATGGTTTCAAGTGCTGAGATTTGTTTCCATTGCTTTAATCTTTTAATCTTCATGTTGAAACACGACTAAGAAGTGATGTCGATGCTGTTTTGTAAAATATAGTCAAAAAAAAAACAACAACCAAAACTAAGTGAAAAGAAAATGATATTTTTGGCGCATTGTTTTGGGTGTCGCAGGTAAAGAGCAAACCATATTTTGGTCCGATTTCCTTTTCCTCTACGCTTCATTAAAATCGACACTGAGAGAGTGAGAGGGGGAGAGAGAGAGAAGTGGCGGCTATAATTAGAGGTTGACACAAAAAAGGACAAAATGTAATGTATTTTTCATAAATGGTAATGGTTGTACTTGTTCCTATAGCGCTCATTTCAATTCACATACGATTTTTCTTTGATCGGTTTGTTGTTTTGTGCAAAGATGCTATTAAATTATTTGCGCATTTATGTTGAACGCTTGTGCCGAATTCCCGTCCGTGCACAGTCTCCCGCTGATTTTTCGAGAGTGATGTGCTTTCGAATTTATTTGACGTTGTTTTTGTGTGTTTCCTTTTTCCCTCTCTCTCTCTCTCTCTCTCTCTCTCTCTCTCTCTCTCTCTCTCTC